ATATATATGCAAATTTTGCAGTTAGGGTACTGTTAGCTCATTCTAAGAACTGACCAAAAATGAAGTGTCTACGCCCAATAGGGACGTGCAATTGGCAAATTGCATTTTATACAGTATTCGAGCTAATACTGTCGGTAACGCCCGACTGCAACGTTTTTACTTGTTTTTAATTGGGGGCGTGGTATCCAAAATCTGTAAATTACAAAATCTTCGTATCTATCAATTGTATATGCATGGTGAAATTGAAGTCTCCAGGTCTAATAGTATTCAAATTAGGCTGAAAAAAACAAGATCAACTCATCGATTATGCTCGATAAAAAAGATATCGAATGATTTATCGAAAAATATGATAAACGTGTACTGCAGTGTACACCAGTCTACATGCAAAAGCTCTTATAACTTCAGAGATCTAGGCGCTCATACGGACGGACGGACAGACGGACAGACGGACAGGGCTATATCGACTCAGCTCCTCGCCCTGATCAAGAATATATATACTTTATGTGGTCTGCGATGCTTCCTTCTGCCTGTTACATACTCTTTTACAAAACCATTATACCCTGATTTCCCATTTTCAATGGGTTCCGGGTATACACATCAATATGCATAACACTTATTGATGGTCTGAAAAAACTGAATTTATAAATAAATCAGTATTTTACAACTGGCCGATTGACAGACCTCAAGAGGTACAAGAAATCGCTTTTAAATGAGCTGAATTGAACTCTTGGGACTTTAGCTATAGCAGAGCTTACGACATTATGTAAATTTCTAAGTTCTATTAAAATTTTTATAATTATAAGACACTAGAACACAAGCTTGGTAGTGCATTACAGTTTATTTTAAAGCCCCATTTTAAAGATAGTATTTAGTTCCTTCATCCCTGTGGATAAACCTAATATAGTTGTTCTTTTTTATAGAGACTATCCCAGACGAGCAGCTTGTCGTACTCGGGCAGATCGATGAGCTCCACCTCGTTGCCAATGTTGAGCACGCGCTGCGGTTGCTCCTCCTTAGCGGGCTGCCAATCGAGATGCGCAGTCGCCGCGCAGTTGGGATTGGAAGTAGCTGCAAAGGATGTCCAAATGTCGATCATCCGTTGGATGGTGCGATATTCAGCGGAGGCCTTGTCCAGCTTCCACGACTCTGCGTTGCGGAACAAATAGCTCAGCTCATCGGCATGGGCAACACCCTGCTTGATGTCATCGCCACAGAACTTCTTACGGTAGAAATTGAAGTCAGGCGAATCAAAATCAAAGCGATAGAAATAGGTGGGAGCCGTGGCGTACGCCAGGCGAGCTTGCAAAGTGCGATGGAAGCCGTGCCAGAAGATCCTATAGGAATAGTACTGAAAGTAGGAAGAAAGAAACAACAATTAGAATTAAATAAAGCCAATAAGTGATTCGAGCTCACGTCCAAGAAATTCATGATGAGCGCGGAGCTGGGCGTCGCGTCGCCAAAGTACAATTGCTTCAACTTCTTGCTAAACTGCAGATTCTGTTGCTCCGTATTGACCGCACGCACCTCATGGGGCGTCAATCGCAACGGATCTTGTGGCAAGCTATCCATGGCCTTGCGATTGACCAGCAAGGTCGGATACATGAAGAGACCTTCGAAAGAGACGCCGCCCAGCATGACAGGCAGCTTATTGCTCCACGCCTCCCTCGCCATCTCCAGCTGTGGCTTGGGTGCCACACAGTCCGCCATCACGTACGGCTCCACGGTGGGCCCAAAGGCATAGATAAATCCATTGCGCCGATCCTCCAGGGTGAGCACGCTGTGGTCAACCAGCTTCTCCGCCGGCACCCTACGCAAATGCTGCAGCACCTGGCGATCGTTGTTGCCGCCTGTATAGCCATACAGCTTGGCCAGACGATAAGCGAAGTCCGCAGGCGGCGTATTGGACCAGTAGTTGTGCAAGGTGCCCGACATGGGAATGGCCTTGTGGAAGAGCCCACGCGTCTGTTCAGTGCACATCATGTAGTGCGTGGAGCAGCCGCCGGCGCTTTCTCCAAAGACCGTTATGTTGTTCACATCACCATTGAAGTAGGAAATGTATTGATTGACCCATTTGATGGCCAGAACCTGATCCTTGAGTCCAGCATTGCCGGGCACCTCCAAGCTGGGGTCTTTCAGACTAAGGAAACCTAAAAGAGAGAGAGAGAGAGAGAGAGAGAGAGAGAGAGAGAGAGAGAGAGAGAGAGAAAGAGGGAGTGAGAGAAAGCGAGAGTGCAAACAGCCAAAATTGCGATGAGTGCGAGAGCTTAACTAGGAGAATAAGAGAAAATGCGTTTCCCCTGAAAAATAGCTTAAAGCTAGCCCGAACTTTATACCCGCAATGATAAGAGAAACTGGTTGAAAAATAAAACTAACTGATTTCAAAGATAATTCAACGATAAGGTTACAATCACTTACCTAGACAATCAACGCGATAGTTGAGCGTGACTAGAACAACATCTTTGGCCATAAAGTAATCGGGCGAGTAGAAGTTCCGTGTGGCCTCGCCTATGGAGAAGGCCCCTCCGTAAATATAGACCATAACAGGCAACGGTTTAGCGCTCTTCAGCTGTTATCGGTAAATTCATTTGTCCATTTGAACAATCCATCACAGTGATATAGTAATTTATAGCAAGTCACCTGTTTGGCGTACACATTCAGATAGAGACAGTCCTCGCTGCCCTCGATGATGCCCGTCAGCAACCCCTTCTGCACGGGCTTATCGGCAAAGTGGGTGCAGTCCAGCACGCCGGACCAGGGCTCGGCGGGCACAGGAGCCTTAAAGCGCAGCTCGCCCACTGGCGGCTTGCCAAAGGGCAAGCGCTCGAAGCTGTAGTAGTCGTCATCGTAAAAGCTGCGACGCTTAACGCCTCGGACTTGGCCAATGGGCAATGATATTTCACATTTCTCTAGACTATACAAAATGACAATATCATGAACTTACGAAAATAAAACTTTTACATATTGATTTATATTATAAGAGAATCAAACACCTTGCCGACATGATGTCCAATCGTCCGCTCGCGTCCAATGCCGCTTGTTAACTGACGAGCGAGTATAGTAAACAGAAGTGGGAAAGCTTAACAAACAAACAGTGGTGGCCATAATAACAGGCACACCGATCGCTTCAGCTGTCGACATTAAAGCAACTACGCAAACTGCTTAAATGTGCATTGCAAATTTGTTGCCTACGTTATCATACATTTATTTCATCTTTTAGTATATTTTCATTGTGAACCTAAAGTCTAAATACTCTTTCTTAGATAAGATATGGGATTAGGGCTATTTAAATGAGCAGTCATATCTTGTTTATGTATAATTTTGTGTAATTATTTTATTATTATTTTTGTTTTTGTTTTTGTTTTTTTTTTTACAGTCATATAAAGCCTACAAAGTGCTACAAAGTGTTTGAAAACAGAGTTTAGCTATGACTTTTCAACTGATATATTTTGGGGTAATTATTTTAATTAAAATATTTTTATATATATCTCTTTAACTTGCTCAATTAATAGTAGTTTAATAAGTTTTATTTAGATATACAAAATGAAAAAAAAAAAAAAACACGTATACACTGTACATATATGTATGTACATATTTATTATTACACATTAATCATTAATCATTATTATTACACATTACATTTTAATCAGAATAATACTTATACATTATCGTACATATTTTTAATTATACACTTTAATCTGAATAATACTTTTCGTTTATTTTTCATCCGGATTTTTGAATATCTTATCAAATTCATTAAATGAGCTCCATTTTAATATGTCTGTAAAGCTGATCATAAAAACGTAACTTGTAACGTTCTGGCTGTGGTATGAACTTTAGTTCCTCATTGATATTAAGGCACATTGTGGGTTCTTCTTTGGTTACGGGCTGCCAGTCCACCAGCTGCTTGGTGAGCGGTCCATTTGGATTGGAGTTGCGGGCAAACTCCGTTAAGAGGGCTACGAAGCGGCAGATGACCGTGTACTCCGGTCGAGACTTCTCCAGCTTAAATGTTTGGGGCAGCTTGAAGAGGTAGCACAGCTCATCTGCATGCTGAACGCCACGGGCTTCTGGTCCTTGGTAACGAATGCGATAGAAGTTAAAATCAGGAGAGTCAAAGTCGAACCGATAGAGATAGTTGACAGCCTGGCTGTAAGCCTGTCGAGCCCGGAGCATGCGCTGCTGATAGTGCAACAAGTTGTGGGTGAAAAGCTCGGCTATCGCAGCGTGATGCTCCTCAGTGATAAAAGTGCTATGGACACCACAGAATTTCTTCACTAGATTCTGTCCCTCGTGCCGACATGCGCTTGGCTCGCAGTGCCTGAGTAGGGAATACGGCAGCGTAAACTCCGGACGTTCCCGGCACGCTTTCAATATGTTCGGATCCTTTCTCATGTTCATCATAGGATTGAACAGACCCTCGTTGCTGGTGCAACCCATCATGAGGGGCACGCGGTTGGTCCACGCAGTGCGCTGCAGCACTCGCGGCTGGTCCAGTAGCACAGCAGTGGGCGTGGGATAGTACTCAATACGTGGCAAAAATAACGGATAACCTCCGCTCTGCAAGCGCTCGTATAAAGGCCTAAAGTCCGGTAGGACCAATTGCTTTGGATCTGCGGCATTTATGAAATTGAACACATCAACATCGTTGTTCTCGCCCTCATAACCCAAATGCTTGGCCATTTCATATTCCGCATTGGGCGCATTAGCTGTCTCGGGATAAAAACCACCCATCAGGATAGCCTTATCGAATAATCCCTCCGTCTGGGGAGTTACCATCAGCAAATGCACCGTACAACTGCCCGAGCTGTGCCCAAAGAGCGTAATGTTGTTCGCATCTCCATTGAAGCTACCCACGTTTGCCTTGATCCACTTCAGGGCTAGAATAATATCCTTTAGTCCCGCATTACCGGGTATGCGCAGGGACGGATCAGCAAAGCTCAAAAAACCTAAGAAGATTTAGTATTAGGTTTGCATCAGATATAATTTTCATAAACCAACCTAATGGACCCACGCGATAGCAAATGCTTATGTAGATCACCTGCTCGCGCATGATATAGTCTGGTCCAAACCCGAATTTGGTCGGATCTCCGTTCTTAAAGCCGCCTCCATGCACATATACCATCACAGGCAGAGGCTTCTCACTGCTTAACTATGAATTATTTACAAAATAATTAAAGTGATTTCTTCGATTAGTGAAAAGCTGACTCACACTTTTGACGGCTATATTGAGGTACAGGCAATCCTCGCTACCTTCAACTTGCTGTGTCAGACTGCTCACTTGTAGGCACTTGCTTCTTGGCTTGGAGCAGTCAAGTATTCCTTCCCAGGGCTTAGCATCCTGCGGCTCTCTAAATCGCAGCTCACCAAACGGCGGCTGGGCGTACGGTATGCCATCGAAGCTGTAGTAGAGCTCACCGTAGAGCGCGGTTTGTAGCGCTCCACGCACCTGACCATGAGTGGTTTTCACCACAGGCGAAGCTTCAGTGCTGCAAAGAATTCAATGTCAATTAGTCTTGGAATTTCTCTTATATCCAACGGAACTTACTGATCCGACACCATTTCGCTTTTGAAGCATACTGAATGCAAATAGCCAAAGCTTCCAGCTTATAAGAGCGCACGCTGTGGTGAAATAAGCTAAGTGGTGAAATTACACATGACGCACCGCCAGCGCTCCGATCGGTAGAGCTTTTTCTTGATTTGGCAAAATTATTCTCTTAACTTTGTCTGCATGACACCAACTTTTCATAAATTCACTTTATAAGACGATGCTTATCTCTGTGAGCGTAGACTTTACTAATCTCACAATGAAGATAAAATACCTAATGAACATATTTAGTAAATCGGAAAAACAAATAGAGATAGTTATTCTTTTATTATTATATATTTTTAGATAGTAGCACAAATTGTTTATGCTATAAACAAAAAAGAACCAAAAGCAAATAAAAAGCTGTAAGAATCCCTATGAAGTCTAGATTAGTATTAAGGTAAATCCATGAGCATAAACAGTCATTGGATGATGTTCTGATTTTGTTATTTGTGGTCCAATGGGCTCTTCAGCCATATACATTCCATTATATCTTATCTTACCTTATGAAAAGTTCATTTTTCATTAAATCAAATCCATTTCGGCACTAAAGTACAACTGCTCGTAGAATTTCAGTTTCAAAGATTCCGGCTGTGTGATAAACTTGAGTTCCTCATTTATGTTGAGGCACTTTGTGGGTTCTTCTTTAGTTACGGGCCGCCAGTCCACCAGCTGCTTGGTGAGCGGTCCATTTGGATTGGAGCTGCGAGCAAACTCCGTAAACAGAGCTACAAAACGGCAGATGACCGCGTACTCCGGTCGAGTCTTCTCTAGTTTGAATGCAACCGGCAGCTTAAAGAGATAGCCCAGTTCATCGGCATGCACAGCACCATGGCTGTCCTTTCCGAAATAGCGCACCCGATAAAAATTAAAGTCAGGGGAATCAACGTCGAAGCGATATAGGTAATTGGCAGCCTGGCTATATTTCAGTCGCGCCTTGAGCAGTCGGTCCTGATAGTGCAGCATGTGGTGGGTGAAGAGATCAGCGATCGACTGGAAATGCCACTTGTTCACATACGTGATATTCACGCCACAGAACTTCTTGACCAGCATACCGCCAAGGTGGCGAGCAATGTCGGGGGCACAGCCATGCCGTATGTAGGCCGGCAGCATGAACTCTGGATGATCCTTATGAAGCTTCAGCACTTCCGGGTCCTTTTTAACAGTAAACATGGCCTGGATCAGTCCCTCGCTGCTGGTGCAACCCATCATGAAGGGCAGACGATTGCCCCAAGCACTGCCCTGCAGAGCACGCGGCTGTTCGAGTACCACAGCAGTGGGAGTGGCATAATACTCTACACGTGGTAAAAAGAGTATGGGACTCTGCATTCGCTCATAGAGAGACCGATAATCTGACCGAATCAACAGCTCAGGATCCGTAGCATTTATGAAGTTGAATACATCCATATCGTTCTTCTCGCCCTCATAGCCCAAATGCCTCGCCAACTTATACTCTACGTCTGGATCATTATATATTTCGAGCTGATGCCCAGCCATCAGTATGGCCTTGTTGAATAGGCCTTCTGCCTGGGGACTCATCGCCAGCAAGTGCACTATACAGCTACCCGAGCTGTGCCCAAAGAGCGTAATGTTGTTCGCATCCCCATTGAAGCCACCCACGTTTGCCTTGATCCACTTCAGGGCTAGAATAATATCCTTTAGTCCTGCATTACCGGGTATGCGCAGAGACGGATCCGCAAAGCTTAAAAAGCCTGAGAAGATTTAGCATTAAGTTTGCATCAGAAATGTGTTTTGTGTACCAACCAAATGGACCCAGGCGATAGCCAATGCTTACGTAAATCACTTGCTCGCGCATCAAGTAGTCAGGTCCAAGGCTACGTCTGGTTGCGTCTCCGGTCCTAAACATGCCTCCATGTACATATACCATCACAGGCAAAGGCTTTTCGCTTATTAGCTGTTTAGCATAAATCATGATTAATTCGTTTTCCTATAGCTGATGGACTACTCACACTTTTCGCGGCGATATTCAGATAAAGGCAATCCTCGCTGCCCTCGATTTGCTGTGAAATACTTCCTACTTGGAAACATTTGTCCTTCGGAACAGTACAGTCAAGAGTGCCTCGCCAGGGCTTCGCGTCCTGTGGCTCTCTGAATCGTAGCTCACCCAATGGTGGTTCAGCGTAGGGTATGCCATCGAAGCTGTAGTAGAGGTCATCGTAGAGCGTGGTTAACAGCGCTCCACGCACCTGGCCATGAGTGGTTTGCACCACGGGAGAAGATTCAGTGCTGCAGAGAACAAATATGTGTCAATAATGGAACTTGAATCGCACCGAAACATGGTAATACCTTTCCATTTCGAGTTCTGAGTTAACTAACTGCAAAGAATGTATGATTAGCTCTTAAATGAACCATTTATAGTAGATTGAAGTCCGTGAACGCATTCGATTAGATAGTATTTTACTTATGTGAAAAAGAAGTGAAGATAAGCTAATCAAACTTTTGAAATATTATAATAGTTTTATACCAACTACATAAATAGTATTAAGCATAAAAATAACTGGTGAATTATATATACATATGTACATATAAGCCAGCCCACAGAGCTCTCAAAGTTATATCATTGACTTAATCTTTAGCCAATCTCAATGACCTCGCTTGCAATAGACTAGCTAATCAATCTATTGATACACTTGATATATCGTGAAAAGTTCAATATACAGGTAATTTAATGACTGTCAATTTGGAAATCAGTGGAGAGTTATTTGGCCTTGGTCTTATAGACGTTATCCCACACTCTCAACTTGGCTATCTCCGGCAGCTCGATGATTCTCAAATGCTCTCCAATATTCAAGCATTTCATATTCTTTCGACTCAAAGGCGCCCAGGTGGCTTTGGTTACGGCTTCCTCGACACTCTTGCAGTTCGGATCTGAGGTGCTGGCGAAGGTGGTCAGGATGTCGATCATGCGTTCGATAGTTTGGAACTCGGCCGTGTGCTTGTCCAGCTTCCAGGAGAAGTCGCCGTACCAAATATACGAGTGATCATCCACATGGGCCACGCCACGCAGCTTGTCGCCGCAATACTTCAGACGCTGATGATTGAATGTGGAGGAGTCGAAGTCGAACCGATATAGATAGGTGGGCGCCGTGGCGCTTTCTATGCGCGACCTTATAGTGCGCATGATGGGATGCCAAAAGACCTTGTAGCTGGCGTACTGAAAGGAATTATATTCACGTGAAAACATGCCTTGATATCGATTTCCATCTACACTCACCTCACAATACGCCGCCACGGTGTCTGGTAGCAGCTCCAGCGGCTTATCTCGGAAGTGCGTGAACTGTATTCGCTTGCCCAGCGTGCGGGCCAGTGACAGTGGCAGCGATCGCTTCAGCTCCAGCGGCAGCAGATGCTCCGGCTGGTTCTTGAGGCTGGTGAGCAAATACGGCGACATATGCACACGGCCGTACATCAGCAAGCCCTCGAAGGAGGTGCCGCTCATCAGCACTGGTATCTTATTGCCCCAGGCATCGGCGAGCAGCTCGACGGGCGGCTTGCTTATCATGCAGTGTTCGGTGGCATAGGGCTCTACGACGGGCCCGAACTGAAACACACAATCGTCCAAATTTTCTGCTTCGCTCAGGAGATACGGCTTCACCAGAACATCGCCGGGCAGACCCTGCAGAAACTCCAAGACCTTGAAGTCGGACGCGTTCTCGATCTTCTTCATGCCCAAATGCTCGGCGAGACGTCGCGCCAAATTGGGCACCGAGCACTGCGCCCAGGAGCACAGCACATTGCCCGACTGCATAATGGCCTTGTGGAAGAGGCCCTCGGCTTGCGGATTCAACATCAGATAGTGTACAGAGGCGGCGCCAGCGCTCTCGCCAAATGCCGTTACATTCTTGGCGTCCGCATTGAAGCAGAGTGCATTCTCTGTGATCCACCTGAGCGCCATTAGCTGATCCTTTAGGCCCGCATTGCCAGGCGCACCCGCAGCGGGATCGTTGAGGCTGAGAAAGCCAAGTGGACCCACGCGATACGAGACGGTGACCACGACCACATTTCTCATCATAAAATAGTCGGGACTGTGCAGGTCCGTGGTGGGGTCGCCCTTCTCGAAGCCACCGCCAAAGAAGAAAACAATCATCGGCAACGGCGCCTCCGTCTTCATCTGTATGCAGGTGAATGCATAATTAGCATAATTTCAATAACAGTATTAGATCACTCGAGTCACTCACAGACTTCACATAGACATTGAGGTACAGACAGTTCTCCACGCCCTCCAGCTGCTGCGTGTACTGATTGAACTGCAGCGGCTTCTCGCCCTTCTGCCTGCAGATGAGCGGCTGCTTCCACGCCACCACCGGCATCGGCGCCTTGAAGCGGAGCACCCCGAGCGGCGGACGCGCATACGGTATGCGCTCGAAGCTGACGTAATCATCGCCGTAGATGCTCGTACAGTGTTTGCCCACAACGGGCCCACTTTTGGTCTGTACAACGGTTTCGACTGGTCTGCAAAGGAGATTACAATATAACATATTTATATTTACAGTTATTGCAATGTAACTGCGCCAGCTACTCACCGCGGCATGTTCTGCGCCTTTGGGAGCTTACGTCTAGTCTGCCTGGGTGACGTGTTGCTGGTTTTGTTTTTATTTATGGCGCACCTCTTGCTTTTATCTAGATAAAAGCATTTATCGCGATATATTGCAGGGTCTCGACCGCCTAAAACACCTCATAAACTGGCTTGGCAATGAGTGCAAAGCAGAGCGCCAGTAAAATAAATTATCTGTAATATGTACTTTTAAAATATTCCACACAGCTGATTTTGAGTTAGCTGCTTTGTTTGTTCTCGTTAAAAACTACATTAGAATACTGACAAATTGTCTGCGACTCTGATCGTAACGGTTGTTGTCGTTGCTTTTGTTGCTGTTATTTATCAGCAATGCACGCGACGCTCTCTTTAGTGTCTGCTTCGGCGAAATGAGCGACTGCTCTCACCAGGGCTGCACTG